CCACTACTGCAAGTATGTGCTCAGTGGTAAAGCAAGAATTCACTTTCGAGCATTTTCTTGAGCTTGGTCTGAGCACCGCTCGCACTAAGTCAGCAAGGTTTTTCGGGTCAGTGAACGGTCTACTCTGTCCATGACCGTCGCCGTAGCAATGTAATCAATGCTAATATTAAGTATCAAGCTGCCACCTGGGTAGCCACGTTCGCGCAAAATCAGCCCAAAGCGATATGATCATTACCGGCAGTAAAAATTAGTCGCGTAAATGATATGCAGGAAATATACGCAGGTCGGAATCGCCTTACACGAAATTGGTCACGCCCTCGGCTTTCATCACACACATGCAAGACACGATCGTGATCAGTACATAATGGTTGACATAGACGCTGTGCAAGTAAGGCTGCATTTGGCTTAAATTCGTTTCGATTTACTAAATACTCCTTCAGCCCGGTTTTATAGAAGAGTTCAACATAGAACCTACATCAAGAAATGATAATTATGGCATTCCTTACGACTACGGCAGTGTAATGCACTACAATTGCAGGAGGTACGCCTTCGTTTTATTTTGCTAAAAAGTAGCCTTTTCTTTAGTTTTGCAAAGGACAAAAGTGACAAGGGCAATCGAACAATGGTGCCTCATGAACCAGAGTATGTTGACACTCTGGGTTCCCACTTCCTTTCTTTCTACGAAAAGCTCATGATGAACATTCACTACAACTGTTTCGGTGAGTTAGCTGTAGTTGAATTTTTATAAAGCAAGAGTTTTTGTTGGCACACTTGCAGATAGATGCAAAATCGATTCGAACAGGCTAGGCAGATACAGCCGGACTAAACCATATGACACCTCGGGGAGCTCGTCATGGGTTAGCTCTGTTTATGACGGTATTGTTGGTGGATTTGCGAAAATTCGTCATGGTTTCCCAAGTTTGCCGGAACTGAAATTGGATTGGGGTGACTGGGGCGGCGGCTGCTTCGGCTGGAGCACCTGCTTTGGCTTGGGCTCACACGACTTGGATAGCAAAACTAGTACAATTTCAACAATTACAACAACAACAACGAGCGCAACCACCATGAAAAGACCATCATCTGCATCCGACCTATCTTATCCAACAGCCAGATGCGAAATGGGAGGATTTCCCAATCCTAAAGACTGCACAAAGTGCGTTTGCCCGGACGGGTATGGAGGGAGACTATGTAAAAGAAGGGTAATAATGATTTGTTTCTTCAGAAGTATGACTTGAAAACCATTTCAGCCAAAAGGGTGCGGAAAAGTACTGCAAGCTAAAACAAATTATCGATTACTTGAGGACCGTGTGGGCTACGAAGGAGTTACTAGTTCTAAGGAAAAGGAAGATTTTGAAAAATGCATCTACTGGATAAAGGTCTCCAACTGTCTAAATTGCACGAAAGGTATTATTGTTTTGCAGGCTCCGAAGGGGAGAAGAATTGAAGTGGTTTTGGTCCGTTACGATTATCGAGTTGCTACTAATGGATGCTACCATGCTGGTATTGAGATCAAAACACAAAAGGATCAACGTGCGACCGGATACAGGCAAGAACAATGATACACAGCAGCAGCGACGCATCGAGGAGGGGAGGCGAGGGGCGTCCCTCCACCTCCCATTATCGCGAAATTTTTGGAATTCACTAACATGAGTTATAAAATTGTGCAAATGACTTGTTCATACTTGTAAATAATCAAAATAATTTTTGAAATTTTCAAAATCTTCGATTTGGTCTTACGAAAATTTTCTTTCAGAATCGTGGCTGGCACCACGCCCCTTTCTCGGATTTCGGGTTACGCGCCGCGAGAATTTTGAGAAATGTAACAAGATTTTCTCCAAGTGCGTGGTGGACGCTACGCACATAATCAGAAAAAAATTTTCGTCTCCCCCCCCCCTTCTC